ATGTAGTGGACAAAATGATGCGCACACCGAAAAAATTCCACTACATCTTCAACATGCGCGACCTGTCGCGTATTTACCAAGGGATGTGGAATGCGAACCTACCTTCTTCGATAGACGCAAAGTCGATCCTTCGCCTGTGGAGGTGAGTGAAAGACAAAGCAAGAAAAAGCTAAACAGCCGTCCAAATAATCTTAACCTGGAAGGTGAACTGCAGCGATTATTGGTCAAGTGTTCTGTTTGTGAGGTTGCCCCAGACACGAATGCCTCCGGGTATTTCAAGATAGGCTAATAGAGGAAGAAGAAAAGCACTACCTGGAGCATATAAAGTTAAAGCAAATAATCGAAGATACGTTTCCAGACTGCTCTGAGTACGCACTGAGGGATCCTATCGTATGGACGGAGTTCCAGAGCGCCCTTAAGCTCTTAGAGGCTGAAGAGAAGGCCGACTCTCCGGTAGGAGCACTGCATGAAATGTCACTTAACCAGTGACCAAGTAAGACAGGGCTTGTTTTGGCTGGATTAGCTTAACTTAATGTGACTTGCATCAGATTTCCGTCTCTGTTCATCCTGCTTGTACGTCAGAATAGATCCTACGACGACCACGCTTCTTTTGAAGAAATCCGGCCGATGCTCGAGCGCCTCTTGGAGCTCCACAATTTCGATCGGAAGCCCATGCACTTAGTTATGTTTGAGGATGTTATTGCTCACCTAGCACGAGTCCACAGAATTATCCGAATGGAGAGGGGCCATGGCCTACTAGTTGGAATGGGTGGCTCTGGCAAACGCAGTGTTGCCACTCTAGCAATATACATTTCTGNCATGGCCTACTAGTTGGAATGGGTGGCTCTGGCAAACGCAGTGTTGCCACTCTAGCAATATACATTTCTGGGTAAACTTCCTCTGATCCCTATCATGGTGAAGGTAACCCCTTTAGACTTCTTTACCAGTAGACCCAGGAGTTTGGAAGAAATTCGTTTTCTGAGCATTATGCTTCCCCTTCGCAGGTATAATCACTTCTCTCTTTCGCCAATGAGATCCTACGGAGAGGCGGATTTAAAAGAGGACCTTCGACAATTGATAACGCTGGCAGTGAAAGAGCGGCAGTGCCTCCTATTTTCGGATGCGGATATCAAGCAAGAGTGCTTTCTTGAATACATAAACAACCTTTTAACAATTGGAATGGTTCCAGCTCTTTTTGCAGATGACCAGAAAGACGCCCTTATTGCGGCAGTAAGGGGGCAGGCCAAAGAGGATGGCGTTCGAGAAGATGCTCTATGGAACTATGCGATGAACAGAGCGAAAGGCAGCCTGCATATTCTTCTTGCAATGTCACCATCTGGTGACGCACTTCGAAACCGTTGTCGCAACTTCCCAGGTCTTGTATCCTGCACGAACGTAGACTGGTTTCAGCCCTGGCCAGTATCGGCACTTGCGGCTGTTGCCGCGGTACTTCTGCAAAACGAAGACCTGCCGCAAGAGCATCGGGCGGTTATAGAGGAACATGTTGTTAAAATTCACGACAGTGTAACCACAATATATGCGCCAGAATTCGAGGCGAAACTTGACCGTGCAACTTACTCCACTCCCAAAAATTATCTTGACTTTCTCAAGACGTACAAAGGCATGTTAAGGGCAAAGAGGAGCAACATTGATCAACTCAGCACTCGTCTAGAAGGAGGGCTCCAGAAAATGAACAGCGTAAGCTCTGGATGATTAGTTGGACCCATTGCAGGGCGTGCTCCGCACAAGCAAAATATACATCACACTAGTTGAACGTCTGACTGCTTTTATGCTGGCGTAGGCAGCGGAATCCGTCAAGATAATGAACACTCAAGTTGCAGCAAAAAAGGTCGTGGTGGACGAAAAGAAAAGAAGCATAGAAGAGCTCATATCTAGCATAAATGAGAAAAGTGCCAAAGCTAGCCAGAGGAAGGAAGAGGCTCGCGCAACTGAGCGGCAAATATCTCAGGTACATTAAATCCCCCCTGTGCTAAGCAGCTGGTCTAAAAAGCACATGAGCACTTTTGAGTTTCGTCTTGGCGACAGTGTTTCCCGTTCTGCATAGCCACCGCCCAACGGGACTGGATATGTAACTCTCTGCAGGATCAAGTTACTATCAACCAAGAGAAGGCCAGCGCAGACGAGGCATTAGCTGCAGCAATTCCAGCACTAGAGGCTGCAGCAAGGGCGCTTGAAAATCTTGACAAGAAGGACATTACAGAGATTAAGGCATTTATGACTCCGCCGAAGCCCGTCATGAATGTTTGCATGTGTGTCGTGGTGCTACGTCCTCTTGGGAAGGAAAATGAAGCCGACGGGTGGAACGGTGCCAAGGCGATGTTAAATGATGTCAATTTCCTCAAAAGTCTTGTAGAGTATCCAAAAGACAATATTTCTGGTATGTCAGNATGTTAAATGATGTCAATTTCCTCAAAAGTCTTGTAGAGTATCCAAAAGACAATATTTCTGGTATGTCAGAGCGTTCGTCACAGACATTTTGAGTTCAGCTGGAAGAAAACCCTCCCCTGTTTGCGTAGACGAAGCCATTTTCGGATACGCGGAAATGTTACATAACATGTGTAAGTAATTGAATTTCACTTCTCAGACCGGCAAGTGAAGAAACTCATGGAATATTTCAACAAGGACCCGGACTCATTTACGAGCGAAAAAATGGCAAAGATTTCAAAGGCGGGGAACGGGTTGCTGACGTGGGTCAAGGCGATGATTCAGTACCATGAGGTTGCAAAAGGGGTCGAGCCAAAACGACGACTCGTTGCAGAGCTGCAGCAGAAGCAAGATGAGGCAGAAGCCAACTTGACGAAAATAAGGGTAAAGCATGACTCCCTCAAGCTAGATAAGGAAGCGCAAACAGTAACAGTACTTTGGCTTGAATATTACCACCAGAATAGAATTTCGAGTACTGCATGTAATCCGNGCAAACAGTAACAGTACTTTGGCTTGAATATTACCACCAGAATAGAATTTCGAGTACTGCATGTAATCCGCAGTGAGCGAGCATTGACGCTGCCCACATTGCAGGAAGAGCTCCGTCTGCTGGAGGAGCAGCTGGCTACCTTAATGACGCAGCAGAAGGAACAGACAGATACGTTACGGGAGGTGGAAGCGGAAGCAAAGGTGATGGAACGCAGACTCCAAGCAGCCTGCAAGCTAATAGAAGGCCTTGAATCCGAGAGACGACGCTGGACAGAAGATCATGAAGCATGCAGCGACACGCGAACCAGGCTCGTTGGAAGCTGCTTAATCGGTGCAGCATTCCTTTCCTATGCAGGACCGTATACTCTCGAATTTAGGAATCGTATGGTGAGCTTTATGGTCTCGACGTATAACTGTAGGGCTGTTGGAATGACAGGAGGCTGCAGCGCTTCTGAAACGTGACGAACGCTTTGATACTTCAAGAGAGTCTGTTCTTCAAATACATACATCGTATTCATGTGCTGCCTGTGTCTTCTCAGGTTTACGAGCACTGGGCATCCGGTGTCAAAGAATCTGGCGTCCCCATAAATGACCCATTCAAGATTGAGGGACTGCTAACGAGTGACGCAGACATCGCCAAGTGGAATAAAGAAGGACTACCCGCTAATGAGATGTCCATTCAAAACGGAATCCTCACTACCATGTCTGCTCGTTGGCCGCTCTGCATAGACCCTCAAATGCAGGTAATGCTTGCAAGTTAAAAGCCGTCAAGACACCTGCAACTAGCGCCAATGACGAGTCAACGCATGGTCTCGTGAGCAATTTGTGATCAGGCGGTGAAGTGGATACAACACCGCGAGGAGGAACGCAGTCTTGTGACGAAGATGTTCACAGACGATTACATGAAGTATCTTGAGCTCGCTATTCAATACGGAAAACCGTTTCTCTTTGAATCGGTTGAAACTGAGATTGACCCATCAATCGATCCTGTCTTGGAACGGAACCTAGCCATACAGAATGGACAAAAGGTTGTAACGCTGCGTAAGAGCTCCTTGAGCCTTCGTCCACTGCAACATCCTTTATAAAGGTGCGTACACTCCAAATTGAGGAAAACA